AATGGCACACTGGTATGGCAGAGGCAAGAGAGTGTGGGGATGACACCAGACCTGCACGGCAGCGGAACGATTTAAACCCAGCTACTGTACACGGTATCATTTACCTCCCGAGAATCCCACGCTGACTGCAGTGAAGATAATGGCAAAGCGTAAGATATCTCCGGCAATCATCTGCAAGGCAAAGCATCACACTACCATGTTGGCATTCGCGGCTTAAAAAAATGATGAAGAGACAGAGGCATGGTATCATAGATCATGAACTCCTACCCCATCCCCGGGTGATTCCCAGTATCAAACTCTGTTTGTCTCATACTTGGCCGATACAGAAGGTAGGGTTGTGTGTGCCAATAGTCTTTAGTTGGCCAAAAATGACATTGCATGTACCAAGTAGTACTAGTTTAGAACACAAAAAGACAGGTTTGCGAATCAGTAGAATGACAGTGAAACCCATGTAACAAGTTAGTATGGACTCGGGTAAGACAACCACCTGGTCATAACGTACTGCATCAGACATACTACATGTATTTAGATGGTCTCACGAAGAGGCAACCTCTGGTCACGCATACTTTTCGTTGTTTCTGGATTATCTTACTGTCAACTGGCTGTCAAGAAGTCAGCATGCAGCTAGTTGAGGGTCTGACCCGGGCTGTGACCAACTCCGCGAACGTCTCCTATTAGCATCAATACTAGAGGTGATGCAAAAATGTCACGGTGGTGAATCAGCGGATTCGCTTATGGGGCCCGGCTCTTTTAACCCTTTACCGGTCTACCATAAGCGTACCGATACTATAGTATCGGTACGTTTGGCCCTCATTTTTTTGGGGTCTTGTTGCTAGGAGACAGCTAAAATGGCGCTCTACGCGTAGCTGAGGTCCAAGGCTTTCTGACGATGTGCAAAACAACCATGCTTACCATACAAATTTTTACCGTATCGATCGACTGAAGTTTGTTGAAATTGGAAAAGACGACCATCCGCCATGCACGCATTTCAAGAATGCGAGTGCATCTCTTGGGGCCGTGTTTGACAAGCGCTCTGAGAGCAGTAACATCACTAGTCCAGGCTGGATGTCCCGGGAGGTTTTGCAGTGTAGTGTGTTGAGAAAAAGAGCTCCGTTGAGTCCTGCTAGTTCAAAAATATATCGTCCACGAATGAAGAAACAAAATTCTCCAAACAGAGAGGAAGCCTTCTTGCTGCCGACACGGCGACAGCGACTGTCACAAGGACTCGTCAGGTGCGATCAGCTGATTCGCCTGGCCGTGAGAATCACGGCATGCGTAAGCTCGCGCCTGAGTACTCATCTGAGCGAGAGTGAATCTGACGCGAGCAGCGCTGAGATGAACAAAACGAAACTGCGATATCGTGCAATGGGAATTGCTGCTGCTGGCGTATCGCCGATGGCGAGGTGTTGGTGTTCAATGGCGGTATTGTAGAGAGCCTACATTTCTTGTAAAGACGTAGCCCTTACCTGATTGTTTATCGTACGACTTCAGCTCCATCACGAACTTGGTATGCCCTTCGTGCTGTGATATTCGTGTATTTCATTCGCAATTGTATTTTCTCTCAACTTGAAGGGCTACCATGGGCCCTATCCTTGCCTGGACCTAGTCATATTTGAATTTTCTGGACGCGTTCAGGCATACAGATTTTGAAAATATATGGTTTACCCATACCTACATCACATGGTTCTTGAGTTATTGCTGGTTGTGTGTACATGTGTTTGCGTGACCACCCCTCACATACATTGAGTTAGACCGGCAAAGGGTTAAAGGGGAACTCCACGAAAAAATGAAAATTTGATAGCCTGTAGAGTTTCGGGCGCTGAGTCGAATGGTCTTGGTCCGAAGTCTCTACGAGAAAGCGTTCTTGAGATATTTCAATTTTAGCCACGCCCCATACCAATGTATGTGTGACGTCATTGTGGCATGGTGCGAAAATACTTGGATTTTGAATCTCACTTTCTTCAGGACGAAAGTCACTTCAGAAAGTAGTTTGCCAAGTCGCCTGAGCCGCTGCAATGCCAAATTGTTGTGTTGTTGATTGTGCCAGTATCACATCATCCTCCTGGGGTTAGTTTTCTCAAATTCCCAAAGGATGGAGACCTGGCAAAGCGCCGAGATGTTGCAATGCGTCGTGAAAATTTCAAGCCTATTTTCGCAGCACGAGCTATGTTTGCTCGCTGCATTTATGATCCAGAGGGACTTGAGAGCTGAGTTTTGACGAGTACGCCGTCCAGGAAAGCCCTCATCAGTGTACCAGTGCCCTCCGAACCGTGAGCCTCCAGCAAAGCGAACTCAACAAGCTGCAACTGAGAAAGCAGGGCGAGATACGTCCCATCAGGATCAGAAGAGTACATCACCCCATCAACTCCGACTGCAGCTAGCTGATGAACGATATTACCCCAGTAACTTTGCGCATACCAGTACTCAAACTGTGCACATCTGTCATCAACTGGGACGCAAACAGACAGACCCCCAGCAAGTACGAAGGTTACAGAACTGTTTGCTTGCGATGTACAGGCAGCATGCACGACGAACTGTCTCACCAATCCTGCCAAACTGAACCAGTGTAAGTTGATTGCGTGGATATGTCTCTATTTATAACAGCTACCCTACTTCTAGGCATGGTTGCATGAATACCATATCACTCAGAGCAGTTGTTAGAAGTCTGGACAGCCTTGGAATAGTGCAAGTAAAGTGAAACAAAAATATATTACACTCCGAGTTCCACGCTTGCGGGATCACCAGGCCAAAAAAATCTAATTTCGAACAAGGAATGGGTTCTGGTTGTATGCGAAAGAAAAGTAAGTGAAGACCTATTGTGCAAGGAATACAGTGGAAACTACACATATTATACACATGCACTCACACCTTCACCCACATGCGCGCGCGTGCGTGTGCGTGCACACACACAAACACAACACACACACATACGCACCCACATACTCAAACTCACTCGCACGCACGCTAGCCTAAGGATAGTACATATGCTGTAATAGTGGTATACTTAGTGAAATGACTATGTGTACATCTAATGACGCCGCCACTCCACGCCAGAAGACAACAAACATCTGCTGAACATTTTTGCTCCCGTCTCTTATGGGCAACACAGGGAATGAAACGAACAATACAATTGAGAACAAGAGTCGTCCTGTACGGTGAAGTTTCCATTTTCTCATACAGCAGTATATTGTCTAAGCAAGTGTGTTTTCTCCACATTCTTTTTGCCATGCAGGTATGTCACAGTGTCATGCCAAACTACATTCTCAAACGCATTCGTTTCTCAATTCTGGGGATGATTGGACACGCACATCTCGCAGCTCTTGACGACGTCAATGTCAACCGTCGCCACAGCACAACCAAAAAGACCGCGATAGGAAGGTATAAAGTCCAGTTCTCAAAGCATAAAGAAGACTGTGGCCAAACAGAAAATTATACGACAGAAAGAGCTATGAGTATGTTGACAAGCTCATGTGTGAGGTAGTAGCGGTTGCAAATGGCAACCTCCATGTTCCTGCCTTGGAGAAGCGTGTTTCCCTGCCAAATTCGAGGTGGAAGCCTCCTGAGAAGGCTGAGGTGGTGCAGGATTTGGATATCTTTGCCTGATGGTATTCACAACGCAGGCTGGAAGACGACAACGAACGTGCTTGCCCAATTTGCCGTGTACATAGTGTGTACTGCCTGTGTGCCGCATAGCGTAGAGATCTACACAAACACAGAATGTCATATGGAATGTGTATGATGAGTGCTTGTACACATACCACATTGCTGTACCGTAATAATTATTATAGTCAAATACTCATTTACTCTACATATGCGCTGTATTGCACCTACCGGTACCTACCTGCACTTTCAGTGCGCGCGCCATACTAATCTAGTGTCCACTGGTACAAAGATGGAGGGTCTTGTAGAATTTACCATAATTGCTGATTTCAAATTGAATTCCAATGATCTGGGGGATGAATACTGATTAGGACGCGTTCGATTACCTACTAGTACAGAGATGTCTTGGTCAGAAAGTACAGATTTCTTACTCTCCTGCCAGAATTTGTGCATTATTTTGGTGTACGCTTTCTTGACCCCACGCTTGTACGTTGCATGCCATGGTATACTAGAAAACGAGTTTATTGACAAAGTCTAGCGCTTGAAACGATAAAGTATGGGTTCGGGTGTGATCAAATGCACCCATGGTGCTCATAAACTGTGTGCAGTGCTCTCTTCACCAACAGAACACTACCTACCATACTTTGTAGATCTTGTACCAATCCAAGGGAAAATGACAAAGACAAATGTGAGTCATGCATGAAAACTTGTGATAGCACGGTCTATAGTACAGAACAACGTTGTTCGTGCTATGCCTGACAACAATAATTAGTTACACACAAAACATTACGCGCATCGATCCTCACAAGATAAGTCAAGACATACTCGGAGCAAAGAGAAATTTGTTTGTGTCATGCATGAAACTTGTGATAACTACCAGTACAATGTCTTTCTTGTGCGACGCCTACTGTAGTGCGCCTGACAACAATAAATTTCCCCCAAAAAATAAGAATAAGTGTATCATGCTGATACGCGATCCTCACAAGACAAGTCAAGGCAAACTAATTGAGGCTTACCTAATGTCAGACTCTTCTGTCACTGGCATTGGCGGCTTCTGCATGTCGAGATAACCTCGAAGAGCAGTGATGAGCACAGCCTAATGCAAGGATACGATCTCGTAATCTGCGAGGTCCGCTACGCAAGAAACCTTGGGCCGTCTTGTCGACAGCGACGGCAGCATCCTACCAGCAAAATCATTCCCGCGGGCTGGGCATGGCTATACACTTTTGTCCACGCTCGCACCAGTCGGAGTCCCAAACGAATCGAGATTCTGGTGGCCAAGCTACTCGTCTTCTGTCGGACGCAGCTGCTGACGCATCTTCTTCCTCCACATTTGTTACACGCGATGGCAGCTCCTCAGCAGAGTATCTGGGCTCCCTGCCCCAACCATACGCGGCGGTGGGCTGTTGGTCGTCCTCACTGGCCTCAGCATCGCTGCCTTCATTGCTGGGGACAGAGGATTGTTCGGAATCGCCCATCTTCCCTTGAAATACCAACTAAAATTAGTGCTTGTAGACTGGCGAAGAGAAACGACTTTGCCACAATGACGTAGGCAGCCCGTGATGATGTAACCAAATGGCCGCATGACGTCAGGGCGCGGCCCCCGTTTTTGCAATTTCAAAGTGAAATATCTCAAGAACGCTTCGTCGTAGAGACTTCGGACCAAGACCATTCGACTCAGCGCCCGAAACTCTACAGGCTATCAAAGTTTCATTTTTTCGTGGAGTTCCCCTTTAAGAGTATACAGCGCGAGTTGGCGGATTCGCTTGCGTGGCAAACCAGTTTGTGCATTGCTACGCCACGCCTCTGCCACTCCATACAAAGCATCTCCGCAACTGATGATATAATCGCACAAGCTGTACAGATGGCCTACAGACATGCACTGCGATGCATCCCAGCAGGCCATGCTTTAAAAATTAGACTTTCAGCCGTTTGACATTGTGAGGTATTTTTGAAGTGGAGGTATATGTGAGCCAGGCTTGAGGCTCATGCGGCCAGTCCAGCCCACCGCAATATACCATGGATACTAAGCACAGTTTCCCCAGTTCACATGTTCTAACATGGGTTTACAGTAGATGAAGTACACATCTCTGAACTCTGATTACAAGTAGATGTACTTCCAAGTAGAATGTACTTGAAGAAAAGACTGTAGCACGGTTGACTGACCTTCTGGCACATGATGATGTAAGGCCCAACAAAGCGAAACGCCCGGGCAAAGTACAGCGTGAATAGCCATCCACAGATCATTGCCAATGACAGGACAATGTCCTCACGGTCGGCTCCAGCCAAGCGCATTATCAGAGCAATGCATACAAGCACAGCGTACATCCAACTGTATACACACATATGTAAACACGTACACACACATACATACACATGCACACACCATGCACACACCATGCACACACCATGCACACATATATGCATATGCGCACATACATGCACACATGCATGTATAGACACACACACACACACATACATACACATGCGAGCGAGCGCGCACACACACACACACACACACACACACACACACACACACACACACACACACACACACACACACACACACACATGCACTTTTATTTATGCCTCTACATGTAGTGCTGGAAACTAGTGATATGGTTGCCCTGTATTTTGGTCCATGAAACACAGGTGTGGATGATGACCATTTCTCTACACAAATGGAAGGTAACTTATCCTGATTCTTGAACCCTGTATAACAGAATACCAATGCAACTGTCGTATCATGGCAAAAGCAAGGGAGAAAACAGCAGCTCCATAATTTAGTGATGTCGTTTGAGCAATTTCAACATTATGGAATTTGCCTACCTACAAAAATGGAGCAGAAGTCAACTACCAGTATTCGAATCCAGTATGCTGAGCATGTGTCTGTGCTGGACAGTGACAACCACTTTCACACTCACCTTGCAACATGGAATGCACCAGAACCGACGCTGGTGAAGTAACCTCTTGCACCACGTCGATACAGGTCAGGAGCCTGACATAGTGTGCCATTGCACACATGCACACACCAATGCACACGTGTACGTGCATATGCAGAAAAGAGAGCGACAAAAAGAAAAGAAAAATGAACATCAAATATCATAAAGTCTGCAAGTCACGGAAACTTCCTTTAAAGGTCTGTCTCTTCACTGTATTTGAGAAAATAAAATACCAACACATCTTTCTGCCTGGGGCCATCTTCAGGACTAGGGTTGGAACGTCCCAGGCGCAACAACATAGGGCAGGTCTTTATCGAATAAAAACTTTCCGGCTGGGTTTTCCGTATGCTATTAGAGAGGTTCCGCATAACGTAATTACGTTAGTAAAAAACGTAGTCGATCTACGGAAAGTCTTACGTAAACTGCATGCGCATCTGGGTTCCGCCATATGGAGTTTTCAAATCACGTAGCTGCCCTTGGCAACTCCGAACGCGGCAGTGTACGACCAGATCGACCTGGAAAGAGAGTCATAAATTTTTACCCCAATCTACTTACGGACCAGCTACGTTATCAGAGCCCTATCTACGTACTCTCCGTAGACAACTTTCCGTAAGTGGAGTGCAAACTCGCGAATTCACGGGTTTTTCCCGCCCACTAATGTAAAGTTGCTCAACTTTACGTAGTGCGGAACCTCTCTATTATTTCATGTTTCATGCTTCGGGCTTATGCCTGATTGCTTGTTGGCAGTTGTTGCATACCGTGATCATGTATCTGATCATTGCAATGGACACTGACGGTTTGTTACCGAATGTGAAAGCAAGTGGATAGGATTACCATGAAATAACAGCCAGCTAGTCACAAAGTAAGAAAACAGGAGCCCAGCCTCCTTTCTCATCAAATGTTAAAAAAGAACATTCCAAAGCGGACCCCCCCCCCCCCCCCGCCCTAGTTCTTTGAAATGCATGTGCGATTACTGTCACACCAATCGCTGCTTCCAGGTCTGCGTAGTTCAAGGGATCAACTTAGCCTTTATTGTGCGAGTTGCCACCGTGAGAATAAAGAACAATAGCAGCCTGGTACAACTTAGCAGGGGATTAAAACTCGGACTAAGTATTGTACTCTCTCAGTATCAGTCTACACAGTGTACATAGGTTGGTGGCTAATAGTCACATGTACATGACGGTTAGAGTAACATTACTAATGTGTGCTTGTATCAGGTACACACGAGCAGGTCACAGTGTCACAGTCTACGATTCTTACCTCCCAGAGAATAGATGCAAATGCTCCCAGCACCACAACTATCTCACCAGCCAGCCGCACGTAATCCTCACTGGTACTATACGCCCCGTTCTATAGGAAGAAGTTCAATCCAAAGCCACCAGGCACAGCGCACACAAATGCACACATACAAATGCACACACACAAATGCACACACACACAAATGCACACACTAATGGCTTATTTATAATTACATAGACCTACTTAACATTGAAGTTTCAATTCTAAAAGTGAGGATAGTGACCGCATACTCCACGCTTTGCAGAAAGCTCAAGAGAACTTCATCTATTCTGAGAATTGCTTAATAAGAAGTGTCCTAATCGGCTGCTGCAAAGCATCCTATGGTCCTTGCAACTTCGTTATCTTGCTTGTTATTAATTTTTGTCTCAAGCCGGGTTTGTGTTCTTTGTAAAAAAATATAGAAATGCAATGCCATTGTATTGTACATGATACATATACTGGTGAGCAACGCATGTGCATGGCGTACTTCAGTATATGCCTGTATGTGTGCGGGCCAGACGGGAGAATGACTTACAAACACTGGTGTCTTCTCATTAGATGCAGTGGAGCACATGAGTGCAGGCTGTAAAGCTAGTTGATCGCCATCCAGTGTGAATATGTCCCCATCACATGGACACCCCGAGGGAAACCGGTGCGGTCTGGTCCCGGGACACAGGCACCAGGTAACATTGCTCTGCTGCACGGGCCGCGAGGACACGACCAGAGTGAAGATTGTCATGTAGCCAATGTAGAGCATCATCCACGCCATGAAGAAGAAGAAGGCAAAGTTCGTCCACTTCTCGCTCAGTAGCTGTGGTATTGGCTGCACGTCTAGCAGTTCATACGACTGCCGGTAGAAACACACGCACGCACGCACACACACACACACACACACACACACACACACACACACACACACACACACACACACACACAATAGAGGATGAGGTCATGACACCGGGGCAGAAATGACAGAATGCTAACCGGCATGAATTGATGACTCACAAGGTCTATCAGGGGGGGGGGGTAGCCCAGAGTTCAATGGAGGTGGTGGTTCCTGGCTACGTAGATTCCACGGGCTGGGTATCCGCTCACAGGAGTGTTGTGATAAAATTGGCGGAACAGCCTGGTTGCCAGGCGTGCCATGAATCAGCCGGCTTAAGCCCCGGTCTAATGGGGTGCTACATGCCTGGGTTGTCACAAGTTTACAAAGTGGCATAAATACACTCCACTAGAAGTGGTACTGGGGTCCAGACTCACATTCTTTGCTTCACTGCGAACAATGACATCGAGAACGGAGTTCTTTTCACCAAACGTGTCCAGCTCTTTCAGGTTGTAGATTGACGAAGTGACCGGGCCAAACGTCCAGTGTATCTCCTTCCTGCTCTCCAGTATCAGCGAGAAAAGCTGCATGCACATCATGTACGTACGATCAGTCACACACCGCTGTAAGTTACTTGCAAGTAGATGGTACATCAGTAACAAGAGACTATAGTTAGTATAGCCATAGTCAGGTAAACAGAATAGTACGGTGCATGGTCCACCCATGATCATGATGATGATTGTATTGTTTTAATGTTCAGTGCCCACATTCCGGGACACACCATTCCTTATTTCATCCATAGGCTGCAGGCATAGTAAACTGACTCTGTACATGCACCTGATCGGTACAGACTACTGGAACACCTACTAGTGTCCGACTTATTCTACTCTCCAACAAGAGTGTTGCTGGACGTGCTTTTACCTGTTTGTTGCCTTGGAAAGCAGCCAGCTGTAGTGGTGTGAGCCCTTTCTTGTTTGTCATGGCCTCCAGGTTCTGTTCTTCAGACAAGAGCAGTGATGAGATGAAATTGTACATGTCACAGGCCAGGTCGGTGTCAGGCTGCAACACGAGTAAATGAAGAAGGTTGTTTCCCTGCAGTAAGACAAACATCAGATGTCAAACACAAGCATGCGTGCACACACACACACACACACACACACACGCACACGCACACACACACACACGCGCACACACACACACACACACACACACACACACACACACACACACACACACACATTCTCATAAGAGCACAATGCAATTGGTGATAGTAGGCTGATGCGCACGTATATTTAATAGTGGAATGGTGCAAGATCCTCAGAGCCAGGAACCATCCATTAGTTAGGCCGAATCGAACTGACTTCAGATTACATGTACCAGGATACTATATCGATCCTCTTCATACAAATCCAGAGTGCCGATGATAAGTTACAATTTACCAGGGCAACATACAGGTCAGACCTCGCTATAATGACCCCAGCTATAACATAAACCTCACTATAACATACGAAATGTGAATGTCCCTGCCGAAACCGCATCACTTCTGTGCAAAATTTCCTCGCTATAACACAATCCGCTATAGCGTAATTTTCGCTATAGTGCACTGTTTGCTGAGTCCCGGGCGCACAGAGACCTCGGCAGAACGTAAAAAGTCGTATAAAAATGACTTACGTACACGACATGCATGCGCCTCTCGCGACAAGTTCGAGGCTGAGCTGTTCACCTCGGAAGCAGGGAGTAGTAAAATACCGGTATTTTACTACTCCCTGCTTGGTGTCAAAGGTGTGAACTTCGACCTCCTACACGTACAAATCAAATGCACCTGAAACAAGGCTGCTGCCATTGTCATGTTGCTGGAACGGACAGACATGTGCATTATATTTCTACCTCCAATCATGTCACATGTACACGTACACACACTGCATGACTCTTGTCCCCTTTGCTGACAAGTCTGTAGATCTACACATCTTTGCTAGTTTACATCATCATACCTGTAACACCCAAGTGTTGTACTGTATCCTACGTAACACGTCTGTACCTCCCTTACCCTGACTGAGGTCTTGCGGACGGTCACGCCCCTTTCTAGATCCGGTTTGAACCACATATACTCCATTTACCAATGTCCTCTGTTCTCCTCCAAAGGTCCGTTTGTTTCTTTTATCCTTATACATTTAGATACTGTTGCTATGCCTTCCAAGTTCTGTTTGGACGGACACAACAGACTTCTGCCCTTTTTCCTGACTCAAGGCGTCATGCAGAATCTCTTTCCTTTTCGCCCTATAAAAGCTGCAGTGCTTTACTGATTTCTCGGCTACCCTATTACAAGTACAGACTCAGTGATGCGGATGTGCACGCTTTACTTTACTTCTCAAGTTGTTGTCCGTTTCTGTGCGCGTTTTGCTGATTTACGATGTCTGCCGCAAAGAATTGTCGTTCAGCTCTTACGCTGAAAGAGAAGGTGGACATAGTTCAGGAGCACGCCGCTGGCAAGTTCGTCAGCGATATCGCGAAACAGCGCGAGCGACCGGGCTCAACCATTTACACCCTGCTGAAAATGAAGGAGCAGATTTTGGCGACTTGGCATTCTGGTGACAGGAGTAGCAACTCGCGACGTGTATTAAACACAGTCGAAGTGGCTCCAGCTCGACTCAGTTCTGTTCGAGTGGGTGTCAAATGCCATGGCTGCAGGTGTGGATATATTGGACATCATGCTGAGAGGAAAATCGCTGGGCTTAGTGTGCCACATCACTCTCTACCGTTTTCTTGAATTTGTCTTCAGTTGTTCTAAACATAGGTTCATATGCGGCACGGCCACTACATGCTGTATTTGCTGAAGGCCAACTGCTTTCCCATTCACTCTGCACACACTTGCTGGCATTCTGCATACATATTCATTCTTTCTTCCAACACTCAGTACACTGCATGTTGTTAGAATCATGATAGTGTACTTTACTAGTATGTACATAGCACTGATGGCATGTTCTACTAGTCCCGGATGATACTATTACTCCTGCAGTCAACACATACAGCACACACACTGAAACATGAAGTTGGTTGTTCCAACGAGGAACACACGCTTCTTGCCGAACGCTTCTTGCCGAACTTGACACTTGACACTGTGTATTGAGCAGGGAGTGGAGGGAATTTTCTTGCAGGTTTGCCGAGTGGAAGGTGCGACGTGCTCCTCGTGTGCTCCGGATGGCTGTCGTGAGTCAGTCAAGTGTCAAGTTCGGCAAGAAGCGTGTGTTTCTCGTTGGAACAACCAACTTCATGACTAATACCGCCGAAGTCGTAACTTCTAAGTTCACACTAAAACATAAAACATAAAAAACACATTCCTAGTTCACCAGAGGCTGGATTGTAAGCAGGACAGTTGTAATCAGTAAGTGAAGAGCGGCATTTGGACATACATATTGCATATTGGTGTGCCCAACTCTCTATAACATAAACCTCGCTATAACATAATTTTCCCATCCCAGAGATTACATTATAGCGAGGTCTGACCTGTAGTGGGAAACAAGGGGAGGTACAGAACACATGAACACATCCTAGCAGTCACATCTCAGGCCGGGGGTGCAGTGCATACACCGGTACTAGTATTGCACAGTAACACTTCAGTATAACATGTACCTCTAGTCTAGGGAACATAGAATCTGAACTTCACAGCCCAGGTACTGTATATCCACGGTCACATGACTGGAACATGATAATGTTGGATCCTCGGAAAAAGTACCTTACTCGTATATCCAACGCAAAGCCGGGAAAAGTATGCTACATCCAGGGTACTTAAAATACCGAGGTTCCACTGTATTGTTATGTGCCAGATTCTTCAGAGGAAAAATTGATGCCGAGAGGTTTCTGATTAGAGTGAAGTGGCAACAGAAGAGATCTCACACTTCCCCACCCATACAATGTCGATACGGTTTTTTGGGTTTACGACCACCGAACTCAGTACAAAGCGCCCAGTGTGGTTAGTGTTGCATGATACAGCCAGGACTGAATATATCTTCCAGATGATTTCCATCGACTCTCTTGCATGCATGCTTAATCGTGTATCACTACCATTCGGGCTACTTCCAATCAAAGACATCACTAGTAAGTGAAGACGGCTGTTTCGTTGCGATACAAAAAAACATCAGACATGCTCAAATGCATGTGTGCGTGCGCCCGCCCAAAAGCAAACACACACACACACACACACACACACACACACACACACACACACACACACAAGTACCTGGCTGTCATGCACGGTGATATCCGCATTCTTGCGCAACAGAAACTCCACTATGTCTTTCTGGCCGGTGCAGGCTGCAAAAGAAAGGACATGCTCTCCCCAGTAGACCTGCAGTGATACACCAAACATGTCCACCAACATCATCATCTTGCTTGCCGTGACCGGCATTAGTTCATTTGAGATTGACAAGCAACCCTTTTGTCAGCTTTGTGCAAATCCGTTTAGTCAGATTTCGTATTCACACTCAAGACAATTTTAAGTGTGAATTTTAAACAAGTTTTAGTCTGCTCAAAATCAGCATTTTCAAAGAGCTTATCCACTACTACTTTCATCACCTTCTCATCAGGTGGAATAACAAGCAAAGAGAAACCTGAACAAGCGCAATGAACCATAAGTATACAGTAGAGATGTGACATAAGTATACAGTAGAGATGTGACATAAGTATACAGTAGAGATGTGATAGACACAGCGCAAACAAAGGAGTACTGTAAACGGATAATTTTGGCGACGGTGATATTTTAGTGACTTTAGCGAAAGGAGTATTTTCGCCAAAGTTTTACCGCGCCAGTCAAAAATTTGCATGTACAGTACAGTACCAGTCAGCCTTCTTTTTAAAGTCTGAAACTCGGATTGCTAAAGTATTTCATCGTAAATTGGTCCAGATTCAGAAAACGCTAAAACCTTCACCCGCTAAAATTGGCCGGTCTACAGTAGCCAGAAACAGCACGGTCAAAGGCATAACATCATACTTGGAAGTATACATAGACGGATTGACCGAAAGGTGTAGGTGTCAAGAAAGAAAACAAGCCGTGATGCGATGCATTGCGACAACAATAGACAACCAATGGATAAAACTAACAAGTTGTTGATGTCCTACCAAACATGTGTGTGGTGTTATGCATTGTACTGTGTTGTTTCTGGCTACTCTTCTTTGCACTGTTTCTTTCACATCTCTACTGTATATAGTTCATTGCGCTTGTTCACTTTCTTTTTTTGCCTGTTTTCCACCTGATGAGAAGGCAGTGATCGTACAAGTGGATAAGTTGAGAATGTCGATTGTGCGAGGAGCCTGAAACTGAATTTTTCGTTTCTTGACGGTGTACTCAATCTCCGGACATTTAGCTGTAGCAACTGGGCCATGCTAGGTCTCATCACTGCGGAGCTCAGCAGAGTCACTGGCTGGACGCTCTGAGTCAGTGGCTGGACGCTCCGAGTCAGTGGCTGGACGCTCAGAGTCAGTGGCTGGACACTCAGAGTCAGTGCTGGACACTCAGAGTCAGTGCTGGACGATTGCAAGCAAGTCCAGTGAACAACAAAGCACTGAATTGAAGCGGCTCATCAAAATGTCCGGAGATAGGATTTAGTGTTATTCAGCGATTTTACTGATAGCACACTCCAACAGTTATGAATTTGTATCCCGTTACTGCCTAGACTATATTATGTTCTTGGGGTGTCCCGCCTATTCCACGCTACATGCACACGGTCGTAGAGAACTGCGTGTAACTTCTCGGTCTCCGGACAGTCAAAGCTGACCGACGTGCGCAACATGCCGCAGGCTACTTTGTACGTGACTAGGAACAGTTCCTCGGCATTGCACAATCATCAGCATTCTCATAACAATCCAGACATCGACACCAGCTAGGAACATTATTAATGCACCATGGTTTGAGGTAAGTTACGTGAACCGGTACTACAAGTTCCTTTTTGTCGTTGAAATGCTGGGCCATGACTGGAGAACTGACCTGATTGTCTGAAGAGCTCGGGTTGAAGAAAGAACCAATGGCCTTGGGAGAGTTGATCAGTGCCCCGCGGCGGACAAACTCTTTCACCAAATCCAGGTTCTGGTTGACAACAGCAATGTGAAGGGCATGCTGACCTAAAGCATTGAACCGACATTAAAAGCACATCACCGTGTGAGTATGCCAAGTATGATGATGTCGCTGAGTAAGCCGGTTACCAGGCACTAGTCAGCATGAAGTAATCTCTAGTCCAACTCAATCTCTGCACAACTAGCTGCCTCAGCCTTGTTAGGTCTCCTCAGTGGTGCTCAGCGTCACCGGCCGAACCCGGCAATAGCAGTAAAGTACTGTTAAATTGGCTCAAGGTACCAAAGGCAGTGTGCTCAAGGGTAAGGAATACATCAAGCGTTGCATAGCAGTCCATTCAGAAAGAGATGAACCTCATAGGTAAGAGACACCCTCCCTGATTATGTAAAACCTTACCAAAAGTCGTCTTCGATTTTCCGATCTAGAATCATTGCATGGTCATTTGGAAGAGGTTTACCAGAAATTTGTATTGGAAAAGTCCAGGTTTTCATGGTGAGGACCAAGAGTACATGAAAAGCAGAGTGTGCAGCTTGGGGCCTTTTCTACTATGGGTGTCTGTCACGGCAGAATTCCGTGATTACATCATATTTGGCGCAGATCTGAGGCGGGAAATGGCGTAGTGCGTACAACTGAGCTGCAGTTGTGCAGAAAGAGACCTGCTTGAATCCTGCTTGTACGCACTACATCACTAAAATGATGTAATCATGGAATTCTGCCGTGACAGCAACCCATCCGAGCTGCACGCTCTGCTTCATGTACTCTTGTTAGGATAGGTAACTCTGATGCAATACCTGTATCCATGGATATTGGGGGGGGGGGGGGGGGGGTCTGTGTCTATCTCTCTGCTACTATATTCGCCAAAACAATCCGGCCAATCATGCGCATGGCAGCATTGGCCAGACCTTTTTTGGCGAATACAGTCAGACCTCGCTTAACCGCACACATCCATTTTCCACAAAAAATATCCGGATAGGCGAGGGAACCGGATAATCGAACACATGCACTGTATGCATGCATGGCATAATTATGCTGTAAATTGTTAACGAGCGATTTTCTTCCGGATGGCGAGGGATCCGGATAAAAGAGGACCGGATAAGCGAGGTCTGACTGTATAGTAATTTGTTTCCCGGTGCCCTGCCTGTTTCTCTCTGTTCTCCCCTCTGTCCTTCTTTCTTCCTCTCAATCTTTCTTTCTTTCTGTCCGTGTGACAAGACTGTTTTAATCAAACCCATGAGCACAGCTTTCCCAGCCTTTAGGCTTTGGCAACATAATGATAACTATGATGAGTGTGAGGATTTCATGACTGACCTTTGTAGAGCTTGCTGGTGTAGACCATATGCAGAAATGGTGGATACCTGTCCAGGAGACTAAGGGCTACGTCGACACTATCGAAGAGAACTGCAATGTGAAACGCCGTCTCGCCAGCCTCCGTTCTGTCCGTCAGTGCGCTCTCGTTCTCCAGTGAGCTATAGACTTGCTCCAGCTTGCCGAGATCGTTCAGCTGTGCCGCACGGAACAGGGCATTTTCCTGGATGCTGAATACGCATGAACACAACACCAAAACAATGACGTATTTCAGACCAACCCCAGGCGTGTCAATATTAAATGATAATAATAATAATGTTACTCAACACAATCATGTACAACATGCAAAGCTGTTATGTTTTATGTTTTCCGGACATAAAGTACATAATTAATTGAAGTAGTACAGTACCTCTTGTATTGAAGGGCATTGACGGCCGACGCAGAGTCGATTTTCTCCCAAGTTTCGTTCTCGTTTCCACCGACTAGTGCCTTAGCAGCATCACTCATTCCAGTCGTTAGGTATCTCCAGGAATCCGAAGCAGCAGATCGCTGCGAGGCAGACATGCGCCTGTAGGAATACAAGCGCTCTCGCCCGTCCGCTTCATCCATCTTTCTTCTCGCATTGGATACTAACGCCAGTAAATCCTCACGGCATTGTTCTTCTACAACGCGCTACTCAAAAGTGGACAGCAGCAAACGGATTACTTTTGATACGTTGTCTAATTTTAGTAGTCGCCCGCTCACACCCTCAGCTGCCTCGCGACTTCATCCGAGATACTAGATATCGGAGCAACCGCTCTCTTGACACGCTGCAGGAAACTGTGGGTTGACAGCGACTGACCAGCTCCTTTCTCTAGCTCCTGGCTATCTTTGCCATCGCTACAAAACAATGTATCATTACTTGCCTGGCCAGTCGGGTAGATCAATCTGACTTCAGCGTACCATAGTCCATACCAGCTTCTTCTGCTAGTTCTGGCTGGCTTCCAGCATGCACTGCATTTTCAGGAAGAAAGGAAAATCGCGTTGAACAGTCGGTCATCACATGCACAGCGTGCAGTCAGTGCATGCACATGGTGTGTTGATCAGGCCCGAGGTCTATACTAGTTGTAGCCTGAAAAGTGAAAACCCCGGGTCCGGGAAATCTGGGGTGGTGAAGGTCAGCAGGTCAAATGCACCGGCACTACAGACTGCCGCAGTGCACAGTGTGGATATTTGAAGGGTCACCGCGTGTCATTGCTCATTCACTCGGCGCGGAGTCGCGGACTCCGGGACGGGCAGTCGTTGATCAACACTGACAGTGACAACGAGTTACGTTACATGCAACAGTCAAGTCAAAACCCTTGCTAGTAGATCTACGTAGTAGATCTACTAGCCTCTAGCCTAGGTCTCGTGCACCCTTGCGGATTCCATAATTATGCACGTGCACAACACCAACATGATTTTGTCGAAGTCGCCATGTCTCATGAGTCCGCCTTGCCAAAAAAACACCGATCTACAAGCACAAGTCAACAATTACATAGGCAACTATCGATATGAACGCCTGCGCTGCGATCCTGTACGATCCTTCCTCTGTTTCAAGTGGTCACCTCGAGGGCTGAATGAGAGCCGAAATATTCTTTTCCTGACTTTAGGCAACTGTTTAGGCGAATAGCCATACTTATCATACCAAAGGGATTATTGATGTGATCAAGTGACGCCGATGGTCGCTAGCAGTGCATGCAGGCTGGGTACCTTCAAGGAGATAATACTATTAATAGTCATTTTTACTTGTGTCCTTCAGTTCTGTACGGATAGTCGGCTGTCGTGCAGCAATAGACGGACTCATTCCTGTGCACTGTCTGTAGGCACCCTCATTCCTGTGATCCACTCTGCCCTCCAGATACAGGGCTGAAAGGCTTGGCCTACAAGCAGCCAATTGAAGACTGATTTGTGAATCAACAAATCTGTAGTTGTAAGCTTTATTGGTGTGCTAGCATGATGAGTAACAGCACTGATGATGGACTGCTGAATACCACACAGCTAGCTGGCTGTGTGGATGATACACTAGTGCCCTATGTCAGCCAAATCTTCACGGGTAAGCCAGTCTAGTGCTCATAGACATGTCGCCGCAATTGCACGCGCATGCACGCACCCCCCCCCCCCCCACACACACACAGACGCACACACACCTTGGACCTTGGACGCGCTGCCATATTCTGGCTATGCAGACACCAAGGGGGTTGAGCAGGTTCGGAACAGTAGGGGCGATGACGGGATAGGTCGCACACACACACACACACACGCACACCATACATTCCAACCGTCCAGGGTTTCCTGGGACAGTCCAGGGAATAGGGTGTTTGTCCCGGGTCCAGGGATGTCCGGCGAAAGCCCAGGGATTGAGATGGAGCTTTTGAAATCGAAGTTCTCCTTTTTTGATGCTTTTTCAGTGTTTCCTCGAACTTTTAGATCCGTTGAAAGTACACACAGCACGTAGTAGACAAAAAAGTGAAAAACCCATGTGGAACTGCCATGGATCGTCGGTATAACGGCAGTCAACAACAAGTTTACTTGTGCAGTTACAGCTCAATGCAATGGCATCCCTTTTGCTTGAGCAGCAGTCATGAAAAAATACATCTGCTAATGATGGATGCGCTAAAAAAATAGGCGTCCAGGGAAAACGGTCAAAATCAAGGGAATTCAGCCTCCGTGTCTAGGGAACTCAAGCCTCCAGGTTGGCATGTATGATGTACATGATTGTTCATGTATGTGTGGGTTACTGGGCCCTACACGTTTTGTATGTGTGGGTTACCGGACCCTATGTGTGGGTTATTAGATCCTATCTGTGGGTTACCGCACCCCATGTGTGGGTTATTGAACCCTACGTTGTAAATGTACATGTATGTGTAGGTTACTGGACCCTATGTATAGGTCATTAGACCCTATGTGTGGGTTATTTGGACCCTATGGGTGGATGACTCGACCCTACATGTGGGTTAACTTACTGGACCCTACATATACATGTACGTGCATGTGTGGGTTGCTGGGCCCAATGGGTGGGTTATTGAACCCTATGTGTGGGTTACTGGACCCTGTGTGTATCCTGAGGTTACTGGGCCCTATGTGTAGGTCACTGGGCCCTATGTCATAGGTGTGGGTTACTATACCGGGCTATGTGTGGGTTACTGCCTTACTGGACCGTGTGGGGGGGGGGGGGGGGTGGGTTACTGCCTTACTGGACCGTGTGGGGGGGGGGGGGGGGGGGGTTACTGCCTTACTGGACCGTGTGGGGGGGGGGGGGGGGGGGGGTTACTGCCTTACTGGACCGTGTGTGTGTGTGTGGGGGGGGGGGGGTACTAGTAACTTACTACCAATACTGGAACCTACGCGTGACTTTACTTTATCATAGAAGTATTTGCTGGCTAGCACAGCTATTCCACATCTATTCTGCAGACCGGGGTAAGGGTTTCAGTGAGGCTGGTGATGATGAACAACATGGCTCAATCACCATGATGATAATCACACCAATTACTTTTTTTCTTCCAAATTTGCTATGCATTTCGTGTCCTGTGCCGTGCAGATGACCTTGATACTGGCACACGTGTACTGTACGCCTTTGCCATCGCTAGCGCGCTTATCAACTTAGTCCTGTATCTAGTCAGGGTCAACCGAGACAGACCGCCCTACGATGATCCATCATTGTTCAAAACAAACCTAGTGCTGGTGGCATTGCCAATGGTAGGTGCGACGCCCTACTTCTCTGCCCATGTCAATGCACCTATTCTATCAGTGGGCATGATGTATTTTATAATGTATTTAGATTGCGTACACTGTTCCGGCAGCATGGCCATGCACTCATATCGGCATCTGTCGGAAGGCACATTTGTCTGGGGTGAAGTCGGGGGTTTGCTCCCGTACGTTGCATTACTTTCGCACGGAAAGACACTTTTGGAAAATGAAAAAATGGGTTACAGAGTAACTGTTTCCCCTGCCCCCCCCCCCCCCCCCCCTACTATTTAGACCTGGCTAGAACCCTGTAAAGGTGCATTCCATGATATAAATTCTGGGTTTTCGTGACTAAAATAGTACATCTTTAGTAGACAATATACCGTAAAGTCTTGTATAAAAGCCGCGGCTTCTATGACTTTCTTGGTGAAATTTTGCAGGCTTCTATATGAGACAGGTATTTCTATGTATGTCAACACTAAAACCAGGCTTATGTGTGATTTGATGGGCCCAAAATTGCGGCTTCTATTCGAGGGCGGCTTCTATTCAAGTGCGGCTTTTATACAAGACTTTACGGTAGTTGAATATACTCAAATAATTATGATACTCGGTGCAGCACATCAAACAATTACGTGTGGACTGGGCACACTCGTTCGACCACTGATTCGAATCTTTCAACCCACAGGCAGGCGCAGCAATGTAGAATGTCCACGGTAGTGTACTATTGGTACTAGTAATACCAGGTGCCGAAGAACATGTTGCACGGGAACATCCAGGCGAGAAATCATCAACACAATTACAAGAACATGCCACGCTGGAAGCTAGCATTTTTAGAACAGTAGTGTTTTCTTGTTGCGTAAAACTGCACACACACATATACACATACACATACATACACACACACATAACATACACACATACATACATACATACATACATACACATACACACATACACACACCATACATACACACACATAACTACAGTGCAGATGACTGTGCTATGTGAATGTAAAATGCATAGAGCAAAAACAAAGAGACTGAAGTTTCAAACCCTTAATAATAATAATGATCACAATATCATCGGCCTGAAACGCCTGGACCATTCTTTGCCACCCGACGTTACTGTTTAGCTACACATTAGATCCTGTTAATAAGCATCCTTCTGATGAGTGTGTTTGTCACGAGGTAGTGGCAACTAGTGCTACCAGTGATTTCTATGCCGTCGTCATTCTGTTGTGCCTGGGACCGTTGTTGATTTCTATGCCCTATACATGCAGGTCATTTCCATTTCCAGCCTGTGTGGAGTAATCGTACCACGCTCTTTAGTTCTCGTTGGCCTTGTGCAGAATGTGTAAGTGCAAAATATACAGATGATCTTTTGCGTGTATCAATATCACTGTGTCCATGCATGTCAAGGTACAGTTTAGCAGTGGGGTTTCCTACACTGGCAGTGTATTTTCAACGGTAAAGGTGCACAGTGGAATGTGTTGCAGAAGCAGCGTGTGTCGTTGGCACGTTGGTGAAAACTGATCAGTCCCATGCATGTTAGTGAATATTTTCATTTGTGGCAATTCTCGTTTATTACTAACAAGTTATTATGGCTTCAGTGACTCTACAGTACTCTAGGTCTGGCCAGGAATAGCATCAGAAGCAACACTTAGATTGCATTGCCGATTAGGTCATTCGTCTGTCAGGCGTGCTACAGCTGCATGATGCTCTCAGTGTTGTGTGCAGTGGGAATGTATGTAGTTGAAGTAACGCATGCGTTTCCACATTCTACTTGCTCCTTTGTTTGTATTGCCGCTGCCTTGCAGGTATTTTTCCTTCTGCATCGCTCGCTTTCTTAGCATCATGGTGAGGCTCTTGGGCCATCGCGATCAACTTGTTAAAAAGCTGAGCGGTACGCGAATGGAACTGGGCCGTGCTGTGCCAGGCTTTGGCATCTGCTGTGCACCGTGTTGCGCACGCCCAGCTTTTAAAAGGCAAGTGCTGCATGCTACCACTAATAATATTACTGTTGCCTATTCTGAACTAAGGAACAACATCTATCTGTTCTAATCTGTTGTACTTTGCTGGTGCGGTTGCCATTGTTCTTGTTGCCTTCGTTGTCGTCGTTGTTATCACCAGTGTCGGCTGTTGCCATTGTGCGGCCCGGCATTGTTGCTATCAATGCCATGGTGCTGGCCCATGATTGTTTTTGTTGTTGCCGTGCCGCTGTTTTTGTTCTTGTAGCTCCCATCTGATTGTACTGGCATACTGCATCTACCAGTACTGCATTCTACAACCACTCATTTCATTCCTGGCAGCTGTCCTGTACGACAATGGTGAGTGGATCAGATGTGTGTTAGCCACAGTCTGCTGCTAAAGCGAGCAATGTGAACTCTGAGGTCGGTACTAAGAGCGTATATGTGGCGGGTACTCGTCTGAAAGCATGCATCCTGTGGAAAGATACCGTATTTCCCCGTTTGTAAGTCACACTCGATTGTAAGTCGAACCCCCATTTCCGGATCCATGTCATATCGTTATTCATTTCAGTAATAAGTCATGCTCGATTGTAAGTCTCACCCCATTTGTTGGCCCTGAAGTTAGGTGTAAAAAGGTGCAATTTATATTCGGGGAAATACTGTAGTGCATACAGTAGAGGAAGGAGTATGAATGAGCAAGTCTATAATATAGTCAAGGTATGCTGCTGTCGACACAGCCATGCAATGGGTCTTGAGTGCGCAACATACTGCGGTAATAATGATCAGTGACTAACCCAGGTCTCACCCTCCTCCCCTCCTTCTCCTCCCCCCCCCCCCCTCCGTTCTCCCCATCCGTCTGTCTGTGTGTGTGTGTTCTTCAGGCAACTACATTGAAGGCTATGTCAGCAAGTATGATGCCTACATTTATCTCAAATGCTTGCAAGTGGCTAGCATGCTGTTAGCCTTCTACTGCGTGACTCTTATCAGATTAATGGTGGAACCGATTCTCACGAACTACTATGTCGGTCGCAAGTTCCTGGTGCTGAAAACTGCAATGCTGATGCTCAACCTTCAGTCGCTTCTCTTTGGAATTCTGGCTCGTGCTGATGTGATTAAGTGCAATATGCACTTCAGCAAGGCGGCACAATCATCATGTAAGTGTCATCTGTGTTCCCAGTGACAGTGACCCAGCATTTATAGACTGGAGTGTTTCCGTGCGGTGTCGTGGGCTAAGCATGGCATGTTTTCCCTGGGATCCACTATAACTATCGCAGTGTGAAAGCGATTCAAGTGCAGGTGGTTCTGCCGAAGAACAATGGACTTGGTCTAGCGATTTTCATATTTTCAAAATCCCTGCCAGTGCCCCTTTAGTTAGTGCTCTCAGGGAACGCATGAGTAGCATTTGCTCCCTTGGTGGTGACTCAGCCATGTCCTGTGTGTGTGTGTGTGTGTGTGTGTGTGTGTGTGTGTGTGTGTGTGTGTGTGTGTGTGTGTGTGTGTGTGTGTGTGTGTGTGTGTGTGTGTGTGTGTGTGTGTGTGTGTGTGTGTGTACTGGCTCTGGCGCCGGCATCTCCGAACTGTACAGTCACACTGTGTACTCTTTTTCGGTGTGTGGGATCATTTCTCTATCCTCCTTACTGCAATGCCGTATTGGTCTATCAGAGCATGTAAGAATGACTGTGGGTTGCACAGACATTCCCAATTCAACATTTTGTTTGCAGGGAGATCGCTCTCCAAGTTGGTTGTCAGCAGGGAGGTTGTAGACGTTCAAAACTGATTGGTAAATAGAAAGATGCCATATAAACTAGGACAGCGTTCATGCTTGAAGTTTTGGCGGCTTTCTTGGACAAAATGCATACGGGAAGATCATACTATGCTAACTGCTGTTACTACTGTACTGCAGATTGCGCTTACGAGTCATTGCATTTTCTTGGAGTTTAACCACGCATGAAAGAAGAGTCGGGTATGACAACGAGCGCACTGTTGTGCATGCATAAGAAGCCAATCTGGGATCAAATCAGCGCAACGAAAGGAAATTTTCAACATTGTACGGGGCTTCGAAATCATTAAAAAAAAGAGGGGAAATCTCCCGCCTAATCGGGATACGTGCAATCTCTGTAGTCCAGTCATAGCAGCTGTTGACGAATTATCGTATCAACTACTGAAGTAGGATATCAAGTATCTGATCCGAACAGCACTACTACCAGCTTCTACTTATGTCTCAATATGCATTTACTATCTGTATCCAAGTGTACAGATTAACACAAGTGTGCCAAAGTGACACGCTCAATACACTCTCCACTTTCTCTCCTTGTCTCCACAGACTATCTGGGCTTTGCGCTCATCTTTGAAATGCTGCCTCTCTGCTGCTTCACGGTGTTTTTGGCGTACCCTTTCTCGGACAAGCTGGACCGGCACACTCCAGTAAGATCTACAACTGTTTTACGTCGGAACATCGTTACTGAAGTAGTTATGGTGAAAACGAAGAAGGACAAAATGTAACGAGTTATGACTAACTGTCCAACAACGTAGTCAGATCTTATACAGTCAGCGAGTGCGACAAAATGGCACAGAACTGACAAGGAGTACAGTACTATTGAGACATCCTTTTTTCACCATAATTTAATTGGCTCACCATCTGGACTGAAGTAGTTATCGGAGAACTTGAACGATTGGTTTCAGTCTGTTTGTGGGCATGCAATGACGGGAACAGGAGATACTAGTCATTATGTTGGCATGAATTGTTATATTTGTAGCACTGTTGAAACTTCTTTCTCTGAAATGGCTTTTTGAATATACAAGTAGATGGGAGCCAAGTACTTTTTAACGCGCTCATTGTTAAACCAGTTCACTAGTGGGTGTTTGGTTGCCGGGTACGTTGTAGCCTTCTTAGAATACTGGTGTTAGGCAAGGTTCACACAATGATCCACTATCATGCTGCATCCTGGATGCGGATAATGACTTCCTGAAGCCGCGAGGGCTTCAGAGAACGACTGTGCTGATGCACAGAATACACCGTTCACAGGCGTTGGTTTACAAGCCTGAAAGTTGGTTTACAAGCCTGGAAGTTGGTATACAAGAGCAAAAATTGCGGACTGTCTGAACACTACAGCGATATTGAATATCTCCAGACTCCTAGACGTAGAACATGTAAAGGGCATTTTGTGTCTTAGTCATCTTGCTGTCTCCAAGTTGAACTGACCTTGCCAGTTGCCACCACTATACTTCAATAAGAGGCCTCAATGTTAATGATAGCTTGCATGCCATTCTACCGGTGGGCCGCGGGTAGGTTCCAAGAGATCGCTCTGCAAAAGTGCGGCTTAGACTCCGGTGCGGCTTAGACTCCGGTGCGGCTTAGACTCCGGTGCGGCTTAGACTCCGGTGCGGCTTAGACTCCGGTGCGGCTTAGACTCCGGTGCCGCTTAGACTCCGGTGTGGCTTAGACTCCGGTGCGGCTTAGACTCCGGTGCGGCTTAGACTCCGGTGCGGCTAGCTCTCTGGAAAAATGGTACTGTAGTTACTTTACTGTGACTGCCACTGCTGCTGCTGCTGCTGCTGCTGCTGCTGCTGCTGCTGTCACTGCTGCTGCCGCTGCTGCTGCTGTCACTTCTGTCACTGCTGCTGCCGCTGCTGCTGCTGCTGCTGTCACTGCTGTCACTGCTGCTGCCACTGCTGCTGCTGCTGTCACTGCTGTCACTGCTGCTGCCGCTGCTGCTGCTGCTGCTGCTGTCACTGCTGTCACTGCTGCTGCCGCTGCTGCTGCTGCTGTCACTGCTGTCACTGCTGCTGCCGCTGCTGCTGCTGCTGTCACTGCTGCTGCTGCTGCTGCTGTCACTGCTGCCACTGCTGCTGCCACTGCTGCCACTGCTGCTGCCGCTGCTGCTGCCACTGCTGCTGTCACTGCTGTCACTGCTGCCACTGCTGCTGCCGCTGCTGTCACTGCTGCTGCCGCTGCTGCTGCTGCTGCTGTCACTGCTGATGTCACTGCTGCTGCCACTGCTGTCACTGCTGCTGCTGCTGCCACTGCTGCTGCTGCCACTGCTGCTGCCACTGCTGCTGCTGCCACTGCTGCTGCTGCCACTGCTGCTGCTGCCGCTGCTGCTGCTGCTGCTGCTGCTTTTCCTTTGTTGTAGGTGCAGCGAGAGTCTGTCAGTGAGCTGAGCAAGTCCGATGTCGGTGCGGCAACAGTCCAGCAAGATGACGATGTTGTTTAGATCTAGAAAGACAATCACTACTACAGGCATGGTCTTGCGTTAGCAATGGACAAGGCTGACGGGCACGGCCGGTCATTCAGTGCAAGCAGGATGGCCGGCGTCAACGTGGCAAAGGCAGACACTACTATAACAGCTCAAGGACACACACACACACTGGTACACTGTGGAGTGGATATTGCTATTTTAGTACCGTACTTGTGCAGCGTGTACCATTACTACAAGTACAGATCAGCGGATATTTTAGCCCTTTATGGACAATCGCACGACTTTCGATCATATATGATCGAAACTTCAAGCGGGGATTTCAGCGGGCGATCTTCATCGTTTTTCGATTTTTTTCGATAAATCCTCGGCTGTGATGCATGCGGATCGAATGAGCATAACATCTATGCACCTCACAAGTAAAAAAAGGTCGCGAAAAATCTCACTGAACATGGCAAACTCAACAGTGCATTCGCTCTCAATGGAAGTCAAACATTTTTCAACACTTCACGTTGGCAACTTTTATTGATCCGAATTTGGTCTGGTCTTTTTTATATGAAAGCTTTGTCCACCTAAACCGATCTGCATACAACTTGTATCATAACTGTTCTTGAGTTACAGCAGTCAATTGAACGCCGCATTTTGCACACTAATTTAATTGGTCTATTTATAGGTTAGTGCATGGCAGGGAGGGCCTTATGGCTTGTTAGTGCCCGAAAGGTTAGCCTGAGGGCCGTAGGCCCGAGGGCTAACCTGAAGGGCACAAACAAGCCATAAGACCCTCCCTGCCATGCACTAACTATTTTAGAACGAGGTTACATGTATTATCTCACTTCCATTATGCTTGTGTACCAATATATGGGGTAGTTTTGTGGTTTGTGTGCAGAGAGACTTGGTGTGGTATGAAAGAATATTTTCTTCTGGTAAGTTATGGTAACTCAGCACCACTTACGACTACTAAAAGTAGAATGGAAGCAAATGAAATGCTGGGCTCTTATTGCGAGCTTCATTCTTATTCATATACATGTATGTAGCTTGTGGAGCTATTTAGGGGCTTTGAGAGCCCCTTGTCGATAGCTCTAATGACTTTGATCCTCGCTTTTTATAGGTTTCCGCAAGCTGTTGACAAAGAAAATTCGTACAGATGAAAGAATACGGGAGGCAAAAGCCGTACACACTTCTGAATTGCGTAGCTTTTAGTAGTACACCGTACACGTTATGCAGAGTTCATTATCTGCACCGTACTATTAATGCATACAGGGAGTTGTACGCACCAGTTTAGAGTATTATTCAGCGGGCTTTAAACTAATCCAAGGCCCTCGACGCGTCATCAAGAGTAGTAAAATAACGATTGAGCGGGCTTTAAACTCTGATAAGGCCCTTGGCGGGAATGTCGCTGATTGGTCGTTTCCTGGACAACGAGACAGACCTCGTTCTAAAAAGGGTTAAATAGAGGCGAATAGAATATTTTATAAATAGAAAGAATTTCGAGTATTATATCCTTTTTTTTAAAGTCTCCCTGGGGCCATCCTTAATTACCGATGCCCTCTTGAAGCGTGACCAACAGTAACTCCACATTCATTGTACGCCTACATAAAGCGGGTTTGCAAATCCACGGTCACAAAACCTTTCCGTGACTGTGTTCATGAGGTTGACTTCCACTTTGTGTTGCTGAGGCATCAGCTGCATGCTTGCACCGTGCCCCGCACGTATCTATTTTTTCGCAAAGACAGCACCCCCCCCCCCCCCCCCCGTAACGAACCAGTAACTTCTCTAAAGAATATTGATATCTGTGGACGGTACCGGTGCCTTAGTAACATTAGTAAATCTCGCCGACGAATTATATTATCATGTATTGCCTCCAAAAATGCTTGCAATCTGGTATGCATACTAGTAGAGTTGCCTTTTGAACTTCTTAGGAGCCCATCTAAAAAGTAAAAACTAAGGAATGAGCAAAAACTGTTGGCTGTAAATTCTCAGTAAAAATCTACGTACATGTACCGGCATTTAAGGTGGCAGTCTGGGTTCAGAGGGTCAAAAAACAAAGTTTCGATTTTCTGTATTTTTTGACTGGCAGCGTCTTGTGTATGGTCCAAAGGGTTTATCCTGAAAATTTGAGCGTAATCGGGTGCTTCCTTCCGGAGATATAGCCGCGCAAAGTCTGCACAATTGTTTTTGAAATACTGAAATATCAGCAAATTTCTACAAAATTTAGGTTTGCACACTATTCCGATTTTTACCGTCAATCTTTGAGCGATTTCATTAAAATTTTCTGGAGCGACTCCTGGTACTCCTCTGCGCTGCAGACTGACAGCCGCGCACGATGTTTGTCACCATGGCAACCAAGATAACTTTTGCGCATGCGCAAATTCAAAAAAATTCAAATTTCGACTCTCATGATCTCAGCTGATCGCTCTGCTGTTGAAACTAGTTACTTTTGGAGTAATTGTTTTGGAGTAATTGTTTCTTGGAGCTAACCCCTTCGTTGGCTACTATGGGGAAGTCTAGAGCCAAGGGAAAGCCCGGACGATCTAAGAAAAGGAAAAGAACGTTCTATGGAGTGTCTCAGGCGCCGAAGGCTCCCTCTGGTGAAATTTCGCCTGCAAAACAAATTCCTGACTTGCCACTGTCTGATGACGACCTTGAAGTGTCAGCTGAAGCCACGTCTTCAAACAGCGATAGTGATGGAAGTGGCGGTGAAGTCGACAGCAGTTCCTCCGACAGTGACTTGGATGAAGAGTGTGAGGAAGGGGCGCATGGATTTCGCCTGATTGATCTCGAGTGCCTTCAGCAGCTTTTGTCAGCTGCAGTTTGTTGCAGTGGCTGTAATGGCGCAGTCACGATCAGCGAATCGCAACGGGGAGGCCTTGCATCATGCCTGGAGCTTTCCTGTGTTAACTGCGGCGACATAGCAAGCGAATTTATGTCCAAGAAGTTCAATCGGGTCTGGGAGGTGAACAGACGAGCAGTATTCGGAATGCGACTGATTGGCCGTGGACGTCAATCAATGGTAAAGCTGGCGGGTGCACTGAATATGCCATCACCTATGAGTCGGTCGACATTTTACAGCCATGCTAAAGGCCTGCATTCCGCGTCCAAGAGCGTCGCTGAGCGTAGCATGACTGAGGCAGCTGAGAAAGCAGTGTCCGCAGCAGATGGGGGTAGCGATATCGCTGCTTCCTATGACGGTACCTGGATGCGCCGAGGATTCGCATCGCTCTTCGGAGCCTTCACTATAATTGCATATGATGTCGGCAAAGTGGTGGACTGCGAAGTGCTTTCAAAGTTTTGCCACAAGTGCACGCACTTGGCGTCTAGAAAAGAGAAGGGAGAGCTAACCAAAGATGACTATGATCGACAGATTGCCGAACACGATTGCTCAGTCAACACCACTGTATCAGCTCCTGCCATGGAGAGTGCAGCCGCCAAGACTCTGTGGGCCAGGTCCTTTGAGAGCCGCAAGCTGAGGTACACCACCTACATTGGTGATGGAGATACCAAGAGTTTTAAGGCTGTGCGTGACGCTTGTCCGTATGGGCCCGAGGTGCCTGTAGTCAAGGAGGAATGTGTCGGCCACGTTCAAAAACGCATCGGTACCAGCCTAAGAAAGCTGAAGAAAAACCTTGCGGGCAAGAAGCTTGCTGATGGGCGCACTATAGGCGGACGTGGTCGCCTCACGGATGCCATGATCGACAAGCTGCAAGCCTACTATGGCATGGCTGTGCGGAACAACAGCGAAGACTTGCAAGCCATGGCCAGGGCCATATGGGCATCCCTCATGCATCGTGCATCCAGCGACAGTAAACCTCAGCACCAGTATTGTCCGCCTGGAATTAACAGCTGGTGTAGATGGCAGCAGCAACAGGCAGGTGGTGATGTCTACGCCCACCACAATATCCTGCCAGAGGCAGTATGGAAGGAACTGAAGCCGGTCTACATTCGGTTGTCCGACCGGAGTTTGCTCGAGCGCTGCCAGAAGGGTGCTACGCAGAATCGCAACGAAGCGTTCAATGGACTCGTGTGGCAGTTGTGTCCAAAGACAGGCTTTGCATCCGCTCCCACTGTCCAGATGTGCGTCTACCTGGCCGTGGCCTGGTTCAATGATGGAGGTGTGGCAGTGAAACGCGTTCTGGACGAGATGGGCCTCCCTACTGGACACCATACGACACGTCTCATCAAGCTGCTAGACCGTGAGAGACAGGCACATGCTGCCAGAAAGAAGTCAGAAGAAGGGAAGAGGTCACGAAAGAAGCGAAGGAGGATCAGGAAAGGCATCCAGGATGAGCAGCAAGAGGAAGAAGGTTTGACATATGAAGCTGGTGGCTTCGACTAAGTTCTAGTAAGTTCTAGTTGGACAGACATACCTCCATCTGTACTTGCACAGAGCACTTTTTTTCTCCATTTTCCACTGAGTCCCGTACCTCTTAGACAGCGTAGCGAAGAACCTGTAAGTCACAGACCCCATAAACCATACATTTTTGGAAACTGTGAGCATTTATCAAGGTGCTAAGTGTCATGGATTTTTATATTTGTCTAGTAGCTTTGAGTAAAGTGCTACTGATCGAGGACCTAAATTTTGCGCGATTGCATGATTTTTGTTTGACAGCTTGAGTACTTTGTTCTGAATATGATTTCAAAATTCCGCTCCACTTAGCACCTAGGTATATGTGAAGGAAATCCTGTGGAGCACTCAGTTTCTACCCAGCTTCTTTCTGCGTTTGCATATTGCGTCTAAGGTATTGGTGGTACGGCATAATCGCAGATTTGACTATTGTGTCTGCGGATTCCCATGTGTGAGCTTGATTTATACTTCATTGGACTTAGTGAAATACACTGGGTATGTGGTCAAGATTTGAGCAAAATTCATCAATTATTATGGAAGTTACGGCTGTGTTCATGCGGTCGGGCCGCGAACCCAGACTGCCACCTTAACATGTTTTTCGATTTTGACAGCATGTTACAAGGCGAGGACGCGTAGTGCTCCTGACTACAACCATAACCCGGTTGGCAGAGTCCCGGTCTTGCGACCATTTGAACCGTATTGGGAAAACCCAGGTTCGGACCCTCGTTACTCTACGGGTTGGTAGGATTTTTATAATTTTCGTTTTTTGTGTTGTAGAAGTCGTCGTGTTGCCGCCGTAGTATTGTTCACGTTGCTGCCGCTGCAGGGATCACGTCTGGAAAGGATTTGTGATGTTATTTTCTTGTCTTCCTCTGTAATTAAATTATTTGTAATTTATATTTCTTTTTTCTTTTGTTCTTTTGTTCTTTTTCTTTTTTTCTTGTCTTTTTTCAACTTCTGCCCATGGCGTCCTTCTCTCAGCTCGTCAGCTGTAACAGTCATAGTCATCACCATGACGACTGTTGTGAGAAGGTGCTCGCTGCCGACGAGGTTGGTGATGTCCCGACGAGGCCATGGGTAGGCCTTCACCACGTCGGAACACCCCGTCTGCACGTTGGTGTTGTGGTCTGGGTGTTGATGGACGTTGATGTTGTTGTAATAGTTGTTGTTGTAATTGTCGTTGATTGTTGTTGATTGTTGTTGTTGTTGTTGTTGTTAAACTACCAAGCAAGGCTTCTGTATGTACCGGCATTGTAGTCGCTGCCCCCCCCCCCCCCCCCCCCCCATGGTCGCATTCAAGGTCATCGGTATTAACTACTAAGAACGTACTTCAAGTACATGTATAATACGTATGTGCAGTGCATGCTGCTCAATGAAATCAGATCTCATGAATACGTGTACACCAGCCATGTCCCCTTGTATCCGAGTGTGCGGCCCAGTGTCCACAGATCAGGGGCTTGGTTGCACAGCATCTGGTACCACCAGCAATTGATCACACGCTGAGCAATCAATGTGTGCATGTGTTAGCACCAGGGAGTCGTACCCCAGAAATTGGGTATGACTCCCTGGTTGCCACCTCATGATTCGTAGTGGTGTGACGTGGCCCTTCCTGATTGAGAGCGGTGAAACCCTGCAAACGGCCCGATGATCAAAAACACGTGTTGGATGTTGGAAACGTCAAGTCTAGACAAGGCTAGTCAATATCGCTTGTGCTGCATTTCACCTCACTGTCACTCTGGGCTGTCCAGGTTCTGAGATCGGAGGACGAACACCGGCCTACCCTTCACAGGCTGCTGTTAAGAATATACCCCGTCACCACCATAAAACTGAATACTTCTACTAGTAGTCTAAGGTAGTGTACATAACCCGCAAGACTCAAGTGTGTGCAACTCCTGCATACCTGCTGTCCTGACAGAATTTCAAGTTGACGTCACTTTTATGATGTAATCGCGGCTCCTCGCACGAGTGATTTAAAACGTTTGCTCATTGCATCATAAAAAAAGAACGTCAACTGTTACTTGAAATTTTGTTGGGACAGCACTGATTGTGCACTCTTGGGAGTTTTAAACTCCCAAGAGTGCGCAAATCATTGCTGTCGCTGCCCCGGCAACATTAATTGAAATGCTTTCTTGGTAGTACTGTGGATCTACACTGACTGAACCTACATGATTGTTGTTTTTAAAAGTACAGTTATCTACAAGAACCTAGAGTACACTGAGATGTGAAAGCCGGGCCCACTGGTAACTCCTCCCGCATGCCCTCCCCCCCCCCCCCCCCCCCCGCCCCGAACTTCCTAGGTTCTTGGCTTGAGTCCATGACTGGGTAGAGCTCGTACATAACAGCAAGACTAGACTAGTAATTACACGAATTGTACTTAGCTCTTGATAATAGTTCTACACTGGCAGACCGGTTACAGCCACACATACACTTACAGTCGATAGACTGCCAGCGGTCACCATAGTTGCAGTACTAGTACATGTATACCGGTATACAGTACCATGTTCATGAATTCATGCATGTTTTTGTTGTACATTTTACGTCACGCTGTGTTATGTCATACTTGACGTCATGACGAGCGGGATGAATCATTGTAACTATCCAGAAATCCAAAACTATTGGCATGCCTTTCTTCTTGTCTTTCAACGAAATACAGCACAAACTTTCTTCCTCATGACGCTTCTGTATCGATGTGTAACTAGATCACTTCCGAGGCTGTGAGTCAAGTGTGTTGTAGTTCTATCCAAGTTTCTTGAGCAGCCTGGGTGGACTGGCTATCCTGCTGACAAATTAAGGGGTTTATTAGTCCGAGGAGGAAGAACGAAGGGAGTGAAATCTAATGTCTGTTGTGGCCGGTTAGACTCTTGGTCTTACCCGTGGTTGTCTTCTGAGCAAATAAAGAGGAGTTTGCGTAGTGTGGTGGATATGGAGGTGGTTGAAAAGGACCAGGTTCGTACAGATTCAAGTTGTGATGAGCTGGTGGACGATTGGCTTGCCATCAAAACAGATGCCTTTGCCATGAAACCTGACGCAATGAGCGATGGTGCGGATGGCCAAGCAGAACAACAAGGGTCCGAATGGCGTGTTTCTGTCAGCCAAGGCCCTACCTTGTCGCAAGTCGTATTGCAATTTGTGAATTCAGCCTATGATGGGGATGACTCAGACGAGGAGCTACAGAGCCAAGCAGCAAGTGAAGCCAGTACTGTGGACACTGCCTCTGCTGATGTCAGTGATGATTCAGAATATCTCAACGAAGTCTGTACTTTCTGTCAACTGGAAGAGAGACATTCAGCCCTTTCCACCCTTTACCCGCCTGTAGAATGCATACTACCACGACTGCCAAGGGAACCGGCTGGATTTTGGAGCTACTTCGCTTCTATTCAAGTTGACAGCGACATTTACATTGAGCTGGAGAAGTATTTTGCTCATGTGATCCGGTTCTGTGGTGTATCCGTGCTGAAAGAGATCTTCTTTGCAACAGAAGATGATTCCGCCAATGAGTATATGGAGGAGGTGGGAGAACTGAAGCGAAAACGCTTGGTTGAGGCCGAAAGGCAAGACCTTGAAGCTCTGGAAGGTGTATACGAACTTCATGCTCAAGTCACGGATATCGACAACCTTGCAATGTGGCATAGTTTTGAGGACAAGGCCATTGCTGACGCGGAGCGATCCGAACGCAAGCTTTTCAAGTTCAGCTGCCGTCCGTTCTCCACCTTGCAGGAGATGGCGAGTTTCGGTCGAGATCAAGCATTGCAACGAAGCTTGGACGACGATTTGCCTCTAGCTGCCAGAGCAGAAGCGGCACACGAAGAAGATTCTCTTACTCAAGATATGATTGAGTCGCGTGTCGCACTTTTACAGCTGGAGTCCACGTTGTATCAGTCCATAGCTAGCCGCACGGAGAAGAGTATCAAACTGATGCTGGCCGATAAAGACGAGATGTGCCGTTCAGTTGCGCGAGAGAAGGAGTGGTGTGGTATCGGCATGGCGGCACGGCTACACTTGTTAGAGCGCAAGTTTGTGACGTGCTCGGTGGACCTGCTGAGAGTTCACTGTAGGCAGCTGCAGGTGCAGAAGGAGCAAGTTCTCTTGGATATTGCCTCGCTAACCGGAAGCGTGGAAGAAGATCAAGAAACCGTGCACAAGCAGGAAAAGCTGTTTTACGAACTCCACCTCAACCTTCTAGAAACGCACATGGCATTACTGGATGAGAAAGGCAAGCAGATCAAGTTCTGGCTTGAAGACCTGCCACCTTCCGATTCCAGGCGCAAGCAGCAACTTCTTGCGCAAGAAGCGAGCCTGTCAACCAGAAAATCTAGACGGCGTGTTGAGAAGGTAAGAAAGTTTTCACAAGCTGCATTACCCCTTGCATTTCTTTTATAACTAACTTTCTAGTGTGCTGTAGTGAGGAGTGGGGAGTAAACACAATGCGGTCATGCGCCACTGGATGTGTATGTGTGTGCACGTGGGGGGGGGAGAGAAGAACCGCTCCATTGAACGAATCCTTCCCAGGCTTGTTCCCAGCTCACTTGGCTTGATTCGCTTGCAGGAGTCTAAGGTGCCAGAGAGTGCATGAAAGAACTTTGAGCAATTCTATTGCAGTGAAACTGTAGCAGAGACACGGGAGGATGTCATTGCCAGTACGGTACATTCTAGCTGATCCGAGTATTAAATATCTGCTCATGAACACTTGGTCTGTTGATTGCAGCAGTGGCAGCCCTTACAGTATGTGCTGCACTAAATGTCTTCAGATTAGTGCTGGCACGTCAATATTATGTGCGTACATGTACATGTATTGCAATGCATATCCCTTATCCACCTGCTTTCACGTATCCACACTTTTTCTTGGATCTCTGCCCAAAGGGACTATTTTACTGTTGCACGGTTTGCTGGTGGCGAGTTGATGAGACCAAGCACAGGTGTATCGTAGCAAAAAGTACCCGCGCCTATTGCTGTAGGCTGTGGGGTCACACACTGCAGATTGTATTGCTGTTTGAAGTCCCACCTACGGAATCACGTTGAAATGGTTGTTAACCGGAGTGAAAAATGTGCAAAGGTGTAAAAAACACTGTGAGTATTCACAGAAGGAACCAGAGTGCTTTGTCCAAACCTGTTTTGTTTGGGCAGGGCAGTGGTTTGTACTGTTGCTTCTAAGCGCAACAGCTTTTGCCGTTGTATACATGTTTTCCATGGCTGTCGGTGCATTGCAAGGCCTGTGCTATTGTGCGCACATTTGTCCTTCCCTGGCGCGAATTGATAACATTTCGCCGTACATGTACTTTACTATAATTATGTTGTCTTCTGTGGAGTATCTGTACTTCAACTTCAGGGCTTTTACCTGCACGTTGCATTAGTCTGTCGTGGAGTGTGGGCTTTTACCTGCACGTGGCATTAGTCTGTCGTGGAGTGTGGGCTTTTACCTGCACGTGGCATTGGTCTGTCGTGGAGTGTATGCTTTTTTTGAGCAGCTTGTGTTTTGTTCATCTGCCCGCTGTTTCTCGGTGTGTAGAAAATCTGTGAAAAGAATGCCAAAGAATTGAAGTTGGATCTGTTCTCACATGAGAAGAGCACTGTTGCGCAGACAGCTGTGTCTAAGGTATGTGTGAACTGTTGGTCACCTCACTTCACAAGTCGTGTTGTTTTACACACCTTGAGGTATTTCAAATACACGTACTTGAAGTACTATTGAAAGTACTTGTACAATCAGAGTCTCTTTGTCTGTCAAATCCTGTAAATAGGATTCCCCCCCCCCCCCCATTTTGAATTCTGATTATGTTTTCCCGAAGCGAACCAAACAGTATTATGGTTTCCATGATCATCAAAGATGATGTCCGCAAAGTTTGACCAACATCTGACCTTTGGTTTGGTCCAACTAGGTCTTTGTAAAGGAGTGTTTCATTCACTCTTTCAATTTTCTATACGAGCATACAGGATTTAGCCACTTCAATTATTTTGTGAGGCACCTCCCAGTTTTCTAGGCCATGAAAGCCTGAGTTTGAAATCTGTTCTGATCAGGAGTGAGCGTCAATTCCTACCCACCCCCTTCTTCATTTTGTCCCAAGATTTCCTATGCCTTTTTTAGGGTCGCATCATCTGGGTCATCCCTATTAATTAGTCGAATCAACAAATAGTAATACAGGTGGACGGTTGTGGGGATATCATCTCACTTGTGACTATTTTGAGCATAGAAAATTGCTTTCAAGTCAAGTCCTGCATATTAGTGGTTTAGTAACTTGAATCAGAAATAAGCGACCGGACAGAAGGAATAAGAGCTGTGCTTGAGGGATGGCTGTGCATGGTGTGCAGATTCAGGAAGTACGGGAGTTCGAAGCCAAACATCTTGAGGAGGAGCGGCGCAAATCACATCGCAAGGCATTGGGCAGAGTGAAGGAATACCGGACTGTAAGTATTTTTTATTTTTATTTTTTACTTCGGGAACAGTAGGGATAGTGTGGCCATGCGCCAGTATGTGAGCTTTGGTGAATTCTTTTCTTCTTCTTTTTCCAATCAATCAACTGAAGCGGATATGCCTCCAGAAAACCCAGACATTGTATTTGCAGAATCAATCTCCTTTCTAGCTTCCTGGCTCGGAAGAAGTTGTTTATGATCTTTGATTTTTTTGCGCCATCTCCGCTTGGTATGTCTATGTAATCTTGCAGAAAAATTACAAACCGCCAGAGGTGCTGCCACCACGTTATCAACCACCGTCACTGAGAAACTCCAAACCTCCACGCCAAAAGACTGCGAACCCGTCAACATCGTCTATCCTGGCATCTAGTATGTCATCATTGCGCGTGGGAGCACCGAAGGCTGCCCTTGTTCAACAACAGGCCGCATCGCGGACAGCAGCAGCTGGAAAGAGAACATCACAACTCAAGTCCGCAAGTGCAAAGAAAAGCTCTTCTGCGGGGAAGTCACCTGCTAAGAAAGCATCGACGTCGTCAAAAACTGACAAATCTAGTAATGCAGCTTCTGTATCTACTGGCAACGATGCAGTTGCTGCTTCGCCTGCTGCTCAGACAGTACAAGCAGCAGCAGCACCACCTCCTCCACCGCCGCCGCCACCACCACCGCCGCCATCTATACCAGCAGCACCAGCAGCATCAAGCACTGCATCTGGCGCAACAGCATCCAGTCAATCTGCGCTGTCCGGCATGCTGTCGTCCGATCCGATGGCTGCACTTAGGCCTTCGGTGAGTCGTGATGCAGCCAAGCCAACTGCTACTGGTACTGGTGGTGGTGATGCTTCGGGGAAGACAATATCAACTGGAGCTATAGCCGAAGGTCTCAAGCAGTTACGACGCGTGGAGAGACCGGAAGCCAGTGCTACGATCAGCCCACCAAGTGGCAGCATATCCAGCAGTGATATCCAACAACGACTGAGCTGTCTACGTAGAGTTGAGCGAGATGCAGCGGGAGAGCCAATCATCTCTTCCAGTCACCAGCGACTGCGTATGGAAAGAGCAAAGCAGTCTGCAGCTCGGAGGCAGTCTGGATCCGCTCACATTCCCGAAGAGCCTAATGAGGAATGGCGTGATATGCTCTCTGCCCGTTTAGATAGAATGGCTCGGTTTATTGATCCTGTCGATGATGATGACGGCAATGATGCCATTGATGCAGGTAGTGGCGATGATGATGAGTTCAGCTAGTTGAGTTCTGTGAGTTGATGCTGAAAAGGTGTGATACTCTGTGCTCAGTGTACCATTGGCCTTACTCATGCACACTGTCTTGTTCTAAATTATACCGGTGTGCAGGCTGGTAATCCTAGGGAGTAATTGGTGCAGCTTGCCACTGGCCTATAATGTAAGTCTGTACAAGATCAAACAAATCGTGTGCCGCCGCTTTTGTCCCCGAGTACGGGTAGTCTGTTGATACACTATGGGCATGGCTGTGATTTGCTTTCCGGTAACACAGTGATGGTGCACCAGTGTCTGTCACTGTTACTGCTTGAATTGCAGGCATTCTCTTGCTGGAGATCGTGTACTGTTTCTCTCTGTATGTGGAGTACCAGATGTAGACTTGCCCTGCCCTGCGCTGCCGTAGTAAACGTACGACGTTAACCTTGATGTAAACCCTGTTTCTCTGTTTACCTGCTAGGTCGTATATACTTGTCACCTGTACCATGTCTACACCCTGTGTGTTAGTCCGAACCTACACCGTAGCTAGGTGTCGTCTGTGTGTTCATATTACTGTTTTTATCTCGTCGTTAGTTAGCTTGCACATCCGAAGATCAAGTGCGGGCGCTGGTTCTTTCCCTTATTGTTTTTGTAGTCCCACAATCAGCATTGATTCTATGCCGTGTAGATATGGCCACGATAACCATGCCCATGGCCTCCTTGTCCTGTGTGTACGTATGTCACATGGCTCAGAGTAGCATAACTACTGCAGTTGGACTTCTCTGCTCTCTGTCACATTTATATTTTGGATGTAGTTTTTAAAAGTTTTACCTGCTTCTCATCTGCTACAATTTATTTTCCTCGTCTTTGTTTTGTCCTGTCACACTTGCCCAGCAGCCTTGCTTGGGTATGCATGCTTGTGTCTTGTCTTGACACCGCTGGAAATCGCAAAGTGATGCGTATTGTGTTTTACAAGTAGGCTTTCTTCTCACTCCTGAAGGCCGATGCCTGGCCAAGCATGCATTCTCACCGATTGTTCTGCTCGTTGTCGGCTGAATCATCAAATGTGAAACACCTGAATCTACCGTGAGAACTGGCTGGTTTAGTTCTGCTGGATTCCAAACTGGAGACAAGAGTGCAGTCCGGGCGGAAACGTCGATGCCGACGACTCCCTGATGCTGGCAAGTACAACTTGTACATAGCCCGGTATCTGGTGTTCTAATCAGGCAGCCTTAAACGCATCCGTATGTGGGTATCTCTACTTCTGAGTTTTAACAATCATGTAGTGGTTCATGTATGACACTTGTCAAGTTTCAAGTACTGAGGATGTTATTCCGTGATGCGTTGAACGCGTCGGGTTTTCGGGAATCACGGAATGCCTGCCTGTGCTCAACTGTGTGTGTGTGAAAAATGGCTAAATACAAAGTACATTTTTCAAGGTGGAACAACGTTCACTGGCTGGAGAAGTGCTGCTGTTATTATTCCTGTTCCAAGTTTTCTATTAGTACAACCAAGAGTACATAACCCCTGGTACAACAGAATGCATAATAATTATTAGAGTACATGCACGTGTACTTAGAATGCGGAATGGATACCATTTCTAGGGAGATAGCACAATGTCATGCACATGCGCATATGCACACGATAATCAGCTAGGAAATGGAGCAGAAAATGACTCCACATGACTACGTGACCATGGTGACTGACGTCTACAATTACTTAGCGTTACGTCTAGTAGTAGAGTCTACAATGTGGTAGTTGTAGTGTCGCGATCTACATGATTGAATACAGTCACGTCAGTGTTTGAACTGTTCACGTCACGTGCCATTCCACTCGTGTAGTGAGCGGCTAAATACCATGAATGATTACTTCGACCAACTATATAAAGATAGTTACTTTTTCGTGAAGGTGTTCCTCAAATCTCTTCCTCATTCGGTACGGTACCGCTGTACCGCTACACCAGTATGATCTCTTCGTCATTCTGTATGATCTCAATCTCTCATTCTTGGACTTTGAGTCTTTCGGATATGTACAAGCTGAAGATAGTGGGGGTATCACGCTGCTCCAATGTTACAAACTGAGTGTGGCTCGATAACATCTTTCCAGTACTCGAAGCCGTGCTAATTCGCTTGCTTTCAGTTAGGAGGCGTTAGCGTCACTTCCACA